TTGCGAAATAGGAGCACTATTTATCAATCTGTAATAAAAGACGTGAGGAAATTCTGTCTTTTTTAAAGACAAAAATTTTTGAGGCAAAATACCCACAAAGAAGTTTGTAAAAAAATGAATCCGCCTCAACAATATAGAACTTATCTATAACTTTAAATAGTTACCGAATTTTATAAAAACATCTACAGATCAAACTGAGAAGGACGTAGAACGGGCGAATGGCGAAATCCGGCACAAGGAGGTGGAAATGAAGCAGCTTCTGAAGGACTTCGACAAAATATCCACCAGAAAATACCAGCTGGAAAAGCAGCTGCTTCAAAATTTGGAAAATCAAGCTGCTAATGACACGGTAAATAAAAATTCTCAAACAATGTTTTCAGAATATTTTTAATAATTTTTAGGTCGCCGAGAACTTATACCGGACCTTGAATTTGACCAAGGAGAAGCGCAAAGACTTGGAAATTATAATGAACGAAGCTGAAAACAAGCAGAGTAAATTTGCGTCTGAAATCGAGTCTCAAAAGTACAACAACGAGGAGAATGAAAGGAATCTGGCTGAGGTCGAGAAGCAAAGGAACAAATTGGAAGGCGAAGCTGATGGCATTCAAGCCGAAAAGGATAAATATCAAATGCTATTCGGGTAACGAAATTAGATTAAACTGATTTTTTGACTGGCAAGCGCGATTTTCTTACTGCAGGAAAAAAGAGCGCCATGTCACCGTCCTAAACAACAAGCTAGAAAAAATCCTGGAGAAGATGCAAGTGAAGGTATTAATCTCCCCGCAAGAGCTACGCATTGTAACATTGGAAAAGCAAATCGAAGAGACTCAGGATAAAATCAAGCACCTTCAGATCTTTTGGCTGCGAGAGCAAAAGAATCTGCTCAATGTGTCTAAAGAGCGACAGGACCAACTCCACAAGCTCAATCTGCTTAACAAACAGAATCTGATTCTGAAGCAGAAGAACTTGAAAGTCAGCAACGAATTGGAAAACTATAAAAAGCAGGAGGAAAAAATAGCCCAAACTATCAATAATTTGCAGAACAAAGCTACTGTTTTATGCGACAATTTGTATAAGAAACGCGACAGAAAATCCACTTTGGATAAGTCGAACTATTACCTGCAATCTCAGTATGATGGTTAGTAGTAACCATACAACAGGTGGGTTTTTAGTGGCTTTACCCGATGCTTTTTGTAGGGAAGCTGAAGGACGCAGAATTAAACTGCTTGGAACTGGAGGCCGAAATAGCAGAAATCGAAGATGAAAAGGCGGCATACAGTCAAGAGCTAATAGAGCTGAACAGGGAAGCGTTGGAATGGGAGAAGAAAATTAAACTAGCTCACCAAACAAAACTGGAAATGCGCGGTGCTCAAGGACAAAGCGGGGACATGGACAATATGAGGCAAGAGATTCAAAGAATGAACGTAATTTACAGGTGAGTGCTTTCAATGGGCGTTAGAGCAAGTAATGAAAAGGTGTTGTTATAGTCAACTGAAAAAGGCCCAAGAAAAACTAGTAAAAGACATGGAACACTGCGTGACCAGACGCGGGGCCATTTTCACAGTAGCTGAAGCCAGACAGTCCAAGTCCAAAGCCAGTGAGGAAAAAACGCGAATCAACTACACCCGAAAAATGGATGATATTCGAAACAAGATCAAACAGCTGGATAACGAAATCAAGACGATCAAGGAAAAAATCTTCAGTTTGAGCAGGCAGAAACAACTGATTGAACAGGAGATCGACAGCAACAAGAACGACATCGCTTTTTGCGAAAGCTACGCTAAATCGCTCCGCGATGAGATCGAGAAGCGCAAGACAAACAGGCAACTGAAATTTGAAATATTAGTCATGATGCAGAGGCAGCTCAACGTGTATAGAGACTTAACTCTAAAGCGTACACCGTTTCTGCATACGAAGAGAGACCAAATTCAAAGCGAATATTATCACCAAAAGGATACCAACAACAAGCTGAGCAGCGTTTTGCAGAATCTGATGTCGGATTTCCCGAATTATCAGCACGAACTCACCAGGATGTACAACACATTAAAGCTGAGTGTTTACACTCAATTCTCCAGTCATTTAGATCTGAGATTTAACTGAATTTTACCAAATTAACAGAAAATGCTAATAAATCGGAAATATTTCCATATATACATTTTTTTCTTTATCAAGCTCAAAACGTTTTTTAGCACCCCACATATTCCAAAGCGGCCCCTTGGGTGGTTGTATTCATAACGGAAATCGTAAATTTTTGCATACCGTTACAGGCGGCCCCAATAGCTCCGGTTTTATCAACAGCGATCACAGCTCCGAAGAACGAGGGGTACTTTGTGGCAATTCGCGCTATTGCCGTGCGAGCGGCTGCGCTTGGACTGGCCCCTTGACGCATCTGCTCTACTGCTAGGAAGCTGCAATGGACCTCTAAATAAAGTTTGGAGCTACTCAACACCTAAATTACCTAGGCAGGAATCTCATCATTACATCGCCATCGCCCGTGGCTGTTGCAGCTCCCACTTCGCTGTCTGCGTAGGCTCCGGCCCCAGGAATAGGCGAATCTCCCACCCGCCTACACACAACAGGACATCAGCCCTTAGTTATTTGGAGGCTCAGATTATTACCCAGGGATTTTGTGGTTGGCCCCATTGGTTGAGGTTCCTGCCACCACATGCCCGTCACCATTAATGACGATCATCCCAATGGTATCATGATTTCCAGTGTTGAACACCGTAGGGACATCCTGCTCTATCTCGTTGGTTAAAGAACATTCAGTTTGGGGTTTCAGCTGATATGGCCCGCAGCTTTCTGTGGGATCTGGAGTGACGTCCTGCAGTAGTCCAGCTCAGAGACTGACTCCGATTTTTGAGCATTGAATCAGCTCACCTTCCAGAAATTCGGTTGGCAATTGGCCTGTTTCCAAGCATCGTACAGGCTCTTTGAATAATTCGTGTCCAACGACTCGCTGGCGTAGCCCAAACTGTAGGCGAATTCAGCAGCTAGCGATCCCACTAAAATTGAATGCTCGCTGTTTTGAAGCACGTTTCTCGCCACTCCGATTGCGTCTTTGACTCTTCGGATACCGCCGACTGCGCCCATATTCATAGTGTCGCTAAAACAAGTTGTTTTTATAGATGTTTCTAGAGAGAGGGTTGGTGGTCTTTACCCATCAAATATTAGAGCATCCAAAGTAGATTCGCCGTTTTCATCAGGACTGCCCCCATAACCGACAGTAAAATCGCATTGCAACGACTGGCAGGTGCGGCAGCCTTCCACAAGAGCCTCAATAGAATTGCTGGATTTTTGCAATTCCAGCCATGCTAAAATAAAACTGATGAATGTCTTCTAGTAAACCATTCTATAACTTACCACTTTCTGTTGCCTGCGTAAACGCCCATGTGTTTACAACCAATGGAAGAGTGGCTTGAGAACCACTCCATAAGGAAAATATGAGAATAATCAGATAAAATGCCGGTGTTCTGTTCATGATCGAATACCCTGCCCTATAAGCCTATATTGCAAATTTTTCACTTTCTTGATTCACTCGTTTTTGTGTTTTACCCTAAAAAATGTATAATCGGAAAAAAACAACCTAAGAAAACTGGCTAACTGATTAAAACATAATTAATTGTTATCTGTGTTTGCGGGATCGAGCATATAAAACAAATAAATGTGATTATAAAGTATTTGTGATAACTAGGTAGGTACCAATAAGCACGTACGCAGTACTACAGACAGAATATATGATGATAATCAGATACAGTTCATCATAAAATTTCATAAAGGATTAACATTTTTGAACATTGGAAGTTCACTATGGAATTCAACAGGCACCAGAGATTAGTCTAGTCAGCTAATCTCTGCATGTCTTCATCTATGCTCTGCAGGCACAAGGCACAACTTCGAAGTTGATGACTCTGTTGAGAGACATTTTAAACACTTTGTATTTACAACTATTTTAAAACGCATTGTCTCCGCTTTATTTTCATAACTAAAAGTGAATCACCCTGTATATTTGCGAACGTAGTCTGGAAATTTTAGTCGACGCTGCCAAGAATTTTACAATTTTTTCATATAAATTGGCATTTACTTACAGTTATTTACTGTATTCGTCATTCAAAAGTTTAATTTCCTGGCTTTTCTTATATATTTATTTACGAACCCCTGTTACTGGGGGCGGATCCAGCTTTAATGTCAGGGGGGGTTATGTAGAAAAAATACAGTCTTCTGTTATCTATGAAATTAGAAAAATGATCGTC